GATGGATGGATGGATGGATGGATGGATGGATGGATGGATGGATGGATGGATGGATGGATGGATGGATGGATGGATGGATGGATGGATGTTGCAGTAGGGGTGTAAATCACACCTATCATGGCGATTCGATTCAGTATCGATTTCCTGACCCAGCAATTTGTTTATTTTCGATACTCAAGAATACACCACAATACGATTCGAATTTGATTAATTGGTTAATTTTATTTTATTTTTTTTACCTTACAGGCTAGACAATGTTTTAAATTTGAAATAAATCAATGAAAGCTGTAATATTGTTATGCATTTTATTTGAGAAACAACCACAAATAACAGAAGTAGAAAAGTTGCAGTCCACCTATTCCTGTTAAAACCTCATTCACTGAAAAGTCATAATACCCCTGCGTTATAGATTCTGAAAGGCCTTGCATCAAAAATACTGCACAAAATCAGTGCAATGAGCGCAATTCAATACCTCGGCTCCAGACGTCCCCGCCCCCTCTGGAGACACTCCGCTGCACCTCTCCCAAATTGTAGCTGACCGCAGACAGTGCCACAGACAGGAGGCCAGCTTGTTTTGTTTTTATGACCGAAATTGCAGAAAATAACTCGTGAAGTTTGACCAGCTAGAAGAGCGAGGTGCGCGAGAACGCTGGGACCCTTTTTCCACCTGGATCTCCGCACTTTTTGGCCCTCATGTCCCTCCGTCGTCGGACTAAACTCGCCCCCACTTCCTCACCACCTCGGCTGTATCTAGACCCACAGTGTGTAGCACAGACCACGCTTCAATATTGGATATAAATCAAAAATGTGTGTTAAGCTCACTGCAACACACTGCTCTAAGAGTATAGCCAGGAAGCGAGGTAGGAGGGCAAAATAGGTTTAGCACCACCGCAGCACGGGAGGGAGAATTACGCCCAGGGGCAAATGGATAAAAATAGACCGGATTAGAAAAAAAAAAAAAAGAATCGATACTCTTGCAGAAGTATTGATGCATCGGATCGTCTCCTGTTGGATTGATGCATCGATACAAAACGATTATTATTTACACCCCTATGTTGCCGTATCCATAACAACCCAAACACACAGGATTTCAGATTTAGACATTCCCAGTTATTAATTTCATACACTCACCAGATCTGAACGCCCTGTTAAAAAACTTCACACCCATGAGTAGAGGTAATGCAGCCTGAATATATTTACATTGCATCAGATAGCGTTCCCCCCATGTTAAGCAGGGGGAGCGCTATCTGACGGGGTTTATAGGCTGTCAGATAGCATTCCCCTGATGTCATTTATGTTGAGTTGCAATAAATGCAAAACTCTCGGCAGCTTCTTGTATTTGTCGTCCACTCTATTCAGCTAGCTTTTGAAACACACGGCGAGAAGGTGGGGGCCAGGTGGTGAGGGTTACACGGGCGAGAAACGCAAAAGTAACTTTTACTAGTAACTAGTTACTTTTATTGTGCAGTAACTAAGTTAGTAACTCAGTTACTTTTTGGGAGAAGTAACTAGTAACTATAACTAATTACTTTTTCAAAGTAACGTGCCCAACACTGGTTGTGAATCGGCGCTATATAAATAAACTAAATTAAATTATCAGCCTATAGCCAGAATCACATCAGACACGCTAGTCATAATTAGCATACTGTAGTTATGCAGGAACGTGTCACCAAACATTAAGAACGTCAAACAATCTCTGCTTCTTTCCTATGTCTGTTTCTGTCTCCTTGAACCCAAGTCGGCCTCGGCAGATGGCCGCTCACACTGAGCCTGGTTCTGCTGGAGGTTTCTTCCTGTTAAAAGGAAGAGGAATTTTTCCTCTCCACTGTTGCTACAAGCATACTTAGTGTGAGGGATTGCATTTGAGTCAATTCGATGAAATGAACTGGTTTTCCTTAGATAGAAAACTTTGAATCAATTTGACTGTATGATCTGATTTAATTGTAAAGTGGCTTGAGATGACTTGTGTTGTGAATTGTCGCTATATAAATAAACTGAATTGAATTAAATTGAATCACTGAGCCAGATTAATAATTTCTGGAGTTGATCAAATCAGTTTGAACCCTTCGAAGAGTAGAAAACGGACTGGAGAACCACGCGTTGCCAAACGTTGGTTCCTCCATCTTAAGGGATTTGTAACACCCTAGCAAATAGTAACGGGAGTAACTTGCTTCTGTCACCATGTAAGAAGTCCACACCAGAAGTTTCCCTGGGTTGCATAAGGTACTCTCTGCAAAATCAAATAAGAACATCAAATATAGAGACACTGAGAGAAAATTAAAAAAAATTTATATTTTAATTATAATCCAATGATTGTGGCATTGTCTCTAAAATATTTGCCATTTTATTAAGACAATTAATTAATGGAGCAATTTTCTAAAGTCTGTTTTGTGTCTGGTTTGATGAGGGCTAATTCAATAATAACTAATAATGGTGTTGGTGAAGATTCTCAGTCATCCAGTTCATAGTCATTCCAAACAAAGTAAAAAAAAAAATAAATAAATAATAAAAATAATATTAATAATAATAATAATAATAATAATAATAAAATAAAAAATAAATAAAAAACACGGGACTTTGTTTTCCAAGTTTGAAGACGTTTCGCTGTTCTTTCTTTTGAATTTGCCTGTTTTCTAAGCCATAACAAGGCTTTGTTTGGGCTACTCTATAAAGCCAGGAACTAAACACTAATCCAGAACTAATCCTGGATGGAAAGCGAAACGTCTTCAAAGTTGGAAAACTAAGTCCACTGGTTTGTTTTTTTACTTTTTTTGGAATAACAACGGTGACATTTCCAATATTTCAATGTGCATTTTAATCTATGATTCTTTCATTGAAGCAGATATTTCTAAAATGTTATGGATTAGTTTTAGAAAAATGGTAAAATACTTATAAATCTGTACAATCATCTGTGGTATTGAAATGATATCCTTTAAACTAAAATGAAGAAATATATTGAATTACAGGTTTTGTCCATATCATCCAGCCCTAGTATATAGTGATAAAAGGAAAGTAACTAAAAAGCTCAAAGGGAGAACAGCTAACACAGCAGTAGGCTAAAGATTCTCTGACCAGCGTACAGTGTTATTTCTTTCATTCCTTTATCTGGCTTTTATTTAAAGTTTAATGGAAATAAAGTTTAGAAAAAAGTAAGGAGAGAAAATCCTTCAGTAAAAGTGTTGTTTTGATGTGTAGCGTGGGAAGCTGGGTGTGGGTATTAATAAACTGGACCTTTGTTTTTTTTTTGTTTTTTTATAAAGTGGATGTCCAGCCTCCACATAGCAATACTCCCCAGAGTGAGTTTTTAGAACAGTTTACATTTGAAAAGCTTTTCTCAGCAATTACTCTGCCTGCATGTGGACAGGAGGCAAGTGCAGCAGAAAAAGAAGTTGTGGAAAGTATCCCCGTCATCATGGTGGACAGGGCCTAATAGGCGCAAAGACAACATGAACATCCCCTCATTGGGAATCATTCCATGTCACAAACATGCAAAACTCTACTAAATTACATCAATTGAAAAGCTATGAATACCTAAGTCCAGGTTACAGCCCTATCTCCGTACCCCCCTTCATGCCAATCTGAATACCAGGAGCCCACATAGGGCTTGAACGCTGGGGCTCGCTTCCAGCAACTGGGAGAGGGGTGGACTGAGGAAATATTGCACCGCTCCTTGCAAGCTTCAAGTCTAAATTTCCCAGACTAAATTGGCCGGGTGTCCTCTATGGGAAAGTAGATGAGTCAATAGGCGGTAATGAGATCTTATTTACCCAGCTGGTGGGGAAAACACCGGAACAGCCCCCTTAACTCACCCAGCTGGACCCTAGAGGCCCACAGCCAAACACCAATCCCCCCCTTCCCTGTCTTCGTTCCCTAGCTGCCCCCTCTTTAATAGAAGCCTGTGAAATCTAGAAGGCAGTAACATTAGCACGCATGTCGGCGGTGTTCATCTGGGAAAGAAAAAGTAGCAAAGGGAGAAAATAGCTTGTCTTCTAAAGATGGAAAGCAGATGAAATCAATTTGGATAAAGAAGGGACAGGAAATAAATAATAAATAACAACAGCTAAAAAAAAACAACTTACTATTTCTCCCAGGGAGGCAGCCAGCATATGACTGACAGGTGCTGCATGTGGGGCTGCGAATGCTGCGCTGATGCCCAGAAGGGACTTGGTGTATTCATAGGTGACAAAAAACGCAGCAGCTGAAACCAAGCAGAACCACAGTCATTTAGGGTCCATTAGTCAACCAGCATACAGCAATTAATATTCCTCACAGTCACAGACAGTTGGGGAGACAGCGAGGTGGGAGAACGTGTGTTTCAGCATTTAGCAAAGAAGAAATGCCAAGGAAATGATACGTGCCTAAAGTGGAATGACTAATTCTTTCTCACCGCTAAATCAACCCATCCTGTAGTTTTCATTAAATGTATAAGAATCTCCACTATATAACCTCCTTATCTGTCTTTCTCTGCCTAAAAAACACACAGAAACAGCCGGAGCTGAATCATTTCAACTCATTAATCAGCAAATTAAATTTACCTGAACAGCTTTTTGATCATCAATTAGCACTGGTTCTACTCATATCAAAGATTTCTGCAGTTATAAGGATAACAAATGTCTACATGGAATCTTATTTTTGAATAAATAAATAAAAAAGTGAGGGTACAAGCTTTGCACAGTTCTTCAAATATCTCTAAACCATTCTCCTTTATCCAAACCACCGACTTAAAGCTGACTCCTACACCTGTATACTTTGCTTAAAACTAGACAGACTTAATAATGCAATAAGTCTGTCTACTTTGATAAACTTGATCAATAAAGTACTTATACCCCTTGGAACGTTTTAGGGCATATTAGAGGAAAAAGACCAACAAAAGGAATTAGGAGAGCGTTGTCATTAAAAATACATACTACTATTTATAAAACCTTAATAAATATTCCTACAAATAAAAAAAAAATAATAATAATTTCTGTGTGTGTGTAGGTGAAGGGGTTGTTAGGGAAATGTATTTATTTGATGGAATATTTACTCTTCATTTACAACTCACAAAATCTATGTGTTTGTTTTCTTTAAGATTTATAATTCTAATAATACATAAATGATAAATTATGCTTAAAAATGTATTGTGTGTATTTTCTTTATTTTCATGGGTACATGTACATATTCGATTGAATATTAATGAAAATGTATTAACATAATTTATTCATTATTCTTATTTACTGTGAGGAGGATTACCAAACATGCTCTAAAATGGCTTTGAGAAATTTCTTGTGAATAAAAAAAAAAAACAGCATACCATTTTGAGGTCAAATGAACATGATTAATGTTTCTGACTGCATGTTCAATTTTTAGAGTCTTTAGAATAAAAAAGGCCTTAGAAAATCTTATAGGGATCAAAAACCAAAAAATACTGCAATGTATTTTATGTTTTTTTTTTATTATTATTTTACAGGAAGCATAAAAATGGTAGATCTGGTAGGACATTTAACACTTTATGTAAAAAGGTAAAAAAAAAATATATAGTTTAAACGTCTTAGTTTATATTATTATATTTGTGAGTCAGAATCTTGCATAAACAAAGTTCAAAGGACTTTAAAACAACCTGTGTTAAAATTGATGCTTATCTTGAATTTATCAGGTCCCTGATAAAGTAGAGACAAACCGACCCTTACACTACCATGCTTCACAACAGCATGGCGTTTAAACATTTTTATTCGTGCACTTCTGTTTTTTAAAAACAATTTCTGATTTGCACATTAGGCTCCAGATCCAAACATCAGTGAAGCAGCAGGAGGCCACCATGTTGAGTCTCTTACCATTGGGGAAGGATCCAACAGCAGCAGACGGCACACCGGCATAGATGCCCCTGAAGCCTCCTGCTTTGTGGAAGCCCTGCTGACTCTGCAGTCTGGTCTTGATGGTGTCTAATGGGAACAGGGTCAGATCCGCGCACATCCCAGCACAGCCTCCTGCCTGCAGAGACAGGCACCTTTTTAGATGCATTGTTTCAAATGCACGCCCTGTGAGACATTTCCTACAGCGATGAACTGTTTACCGATCATCATCATTCTCTGCATATTTATAGTGAAGCAAAATTCCATTAATTTCTTCTAATTGTGCAAAGAAATTGGAAATATTGGCAAACTAAAACACACAAAATCAACCAATTTACAGTTTAAAATAAAATAGTCACAATCTTATTTCAAGAACAATTCTTATGTTGTTGTATGTTTGGATATTATATGGACAATAATTCAGAACAGCTGTACTCTTTTCAACCACAGCTCTTCAGTTCAGAAAGATACAGTGCCTTGTGAAATTATTCAGGCCCCTTGAACATTTTGACCTTTACCACAAACATAAAGATATAAAATTGCATTTATCATTATATTATAGTATTGGATATCAAAATTACAATTGTATACCTTTATGTAGCAGAAGGTCAAAAAGTTCAAGGGGTCTGAATACTTTTGCAAGACATTGTATATCTACTTACCTTCAAATCTAGAAGCACTTAGGAAGCTTTTCTGTTATTCTTCAAGTAACTTTGAATAATGCTTAAGAAAACTGTGCGACTGTATGCTACCAAATGAATCTGAGTGTTAATACCTGTAATACTGCAGCTGTTTTACCAAGTCCCTATTGGAAAATATTCTTAAAAACTAAATTAACTTAAAACTTAATTGAAAAAAGGGGTTTATTATTAATAGATCTAACTTTGACACTGGGCTGCTCTCCAAGGAGAGGCTGAATAATGACTAACATTTTTTTTTTCAAATGCAGCAAACTAGAGAAAATTATTTTTATATATATTTTATATATATATATATATAATTGACCTTTATTGATCTCACAGTAAATTTCTCCAATGTGAGATCAATAAAGTTTTTTTTGTTTGTTTGTTTGTTTTTTACCACTAATGCAAAGCCATCAATGAACTGATGGTTAAAAAAATACAGTTATGCTTTCAGAAATAGTAAATATTTTCACATAAAACCTTAGGGTGAGATGTGCACCTTTGTACGGAACTGCACATTTAACGAATTAAATAATTTCACAGCTTTTAGATACACTATTTACCATAAAACCGGTATTTAAGCAATAAGGAACCAATACGTCTATTAAAAATATAACTTTATATGGTTAAATAATAGAACATATTGAAAAAGTGTTGTTTTTCTAGGACTGTCACGTTGAAGAGTGGTGTTTCTATGCAGCTTATTTACAAAATGCAGGTTGTGTTTAAGTTTTGATAAAAAAAAAATTAAAACAAATAACATAGAAACGCGTCCTTCTTACCACCAGAGACGCAACAAACTCCCTTTTCTCCATATTCCGTTCATTCAGCTCTCCTGACAATCAAGCGGTCTGCAGATTTACTGAAACAGTGGATATTTCTCATCTCACTGAAACCAAAACATGCCTGTCAAGGACGCGGCCATTTTGGCTCCATCACTTCCGCATGACGTCATGACGCTCCGCTTTCCCGATGCCTGATGGGAAACTGTGTTTTCTTATGCCAAACAAGTCTGTGTGACTTGTTGAGTGCTGCGCATGCACCTGCACAGTGTTTCTGGCTAAATAAAAGCCATGATATTCAGCTAACAGGAGTTCACAGATGCTGTGAATAAATAAATAAACAAATAAATAAATAAATAAATTAAGAGCAGCCGTCCTCACACTGAACTTCAGCCTTTCTGTCAATCTCCCTCTGAGTGAAGGTCAGGGAGATGATGGGGATTCTGCAAAGTTAAAAACTAACAAAAAAATAAAGTTACCCAACATCAGATCAATCTTCAAATTCTCAGGATTCACTTGTCAATGATTTCTCACCTGGGTAAACTGAGTTCAGCTCGCCTTGTTTGAAGGTAAAATCAAGATTTTTGATCAGACTACTTTCCAACATCAATATCACAACATGATATCACTGCAGACCTGTGACCTAATATCACTGGCTGAAAAAGATCAAACAAAACTAATTAGCCAGTAAAACTGGAACTTCACTCTATATTTAGTGATTCCCCCATTCCTGCACACATTCACACTCTGGTGGTAAGCTGCATTTTGAACAGACGTCTTTTTGCAGACTGACAGAAGTGAAGCTGGCATAAAATCATCACCATTATTATATGTAGAACCTCTGAATAATTACTCAGGTTGCTAATTTTAAATTTGCTGTTTGTAATACTAGAATAGAATAGAAAATCCCTTTATTGTCCCATAATGGGGACATTCTGGTGTTACAGCAAAAAGGTTATAGAAAAATGGTCACACAAATATGGGTGGGAACTATTCTGAATGTTAAGTTTCATAGTTAAGGTTAAACTTGATTGTCAGTTCTGTCATTTCTACTGGTTTGTTCTTCATTCATTTGATCTCTGTTGCATTCTTAGGTCCACTGATTTATTTCCTATCAGCTACTGCAGCAGTGAGGTTAGACTTTATTCAGAGTCTTAATCTAATCTAAAAGCATAATTTCTCATTTTGTTCAGTGCTCAGAGCCAAAATTTTGTGCTTTTCCCCCTTTCCAATTTGCAGAAGATCTACTTATCAGACCCCCTTGAGGTTGTTGATCTGTACAAAGTGCAAAGACAACGGCTTCTGATTCTGCATCAGCATATCGAAGCAAGAGTTCAAAAGCTGAAGGACATCAAACAGGACGTGAAAGAAATGTGAGAAGCTGCCTTAAAATCTGAAATGAGGTTTTAGACAGATCAGTCTTAATTGTAAAGCAGTATTGTTATAACAGATGCAGGCGACACAAAGACGTATGGTGACATGTAAAATAAAGGCAAATTACAGGCAAATGGCTAACATTACTGTTACATGATTTTTTTAATGAAAGAGAAAGTTAGCCATCTCGAAGAGAATCTATCAATCCAAGAAAGCGTCATAAAGCCCATGTTGGAAATGGAAGACAGGAGGGCTGAAAAGTTC